GCTGGGCGTATGTATCTTTTTCTTCTATAGGTCTAATTGTTTCCGTGTTATAACAGTTGTGTGAATCGTTGGCTTCCTTGATGGTTTTATTTTTTTTTTGTCTAATTCTTGGTAGAAATAAGTTGCCTGCTGTACGATTTCTTGTCTTGTTGTAATTTCTTTATGTTGGCCTTCTAAGTTTTTGTATCCAAGTTTTTCTTAAGTTCTAATTCTTTAAATGCTCTCTTTGTGCTTCGGAATTTATTTAAATTTTCTGTTATTATCCTTTGCCTGTGCTTACTATAGTCTCTTTTAATCGCTTTGCTAGTTTCCTTATATAATTTGCTTAGTTCTTTCTTTGTATCAGCATCTTTATTCTTTCTTAGAGTTAATTCACTGCGTTTGTTAATTAAGGCTAGTGTTTCTTCGCTAAATATTTTGTGTCGTTTTTCTTTTTTTGTATTGTTTTTGCTAGTTAAACTTTTTGTTATAGCTTATTTCTAGCGCATCATAGTAAGATTGAACGTTTCTGGTATCTGCTAGTTTGGTATCGATGTTCGATTTGAGGCTGTCTATGTAGTATCTTGTTTCTTCTTCATTTTTTGGGATTTTTGGTGGTGGTTTAAAGCCTTTTCTATTTTTTTTCAGCTTGACTCAATAGAACTGTTGCTCTAAGTAGTCTATGGTCTGTTTGAACTTTACGTTGTTGAGAACTTCATAATTTTGGACTATTTTTGGGACATTTGTCATGATGTAGTCGATTTCGTTTTTAACTTTTTCGTCTGGTGACTTCCAAGTCCATCTTCTGCTGGGTCTTTTTTTGAAATAAGTGTTGATTATTGCTAGTCTATATTCCAATGCATATTCTAGCAGTCTTTCGCCTCTTTCGTTTCTTTGGCCTAGCCCGTACTGTCCCATGACGAGTTTTTCTTCTTTTTTGGGTTGCCCTATTTTTGCATTGAAGTCTCCTAATATTATGATTTTCTCATTGGATAGTGTATGAGCTTTTTTCAGATCATTGTAGAATTTTTGTATTTCTGTATCGTCTGATTTTTCCGTGGGTGCGTATGCCTGAATTATAGAAATGTCTAGTCCGCCAAAATTCATTTGCAACGACCTACTCTCTCCGAAATGCCAGTGAAGTTAGTTATATTGTTTTTCCATGCCTTTTTTATTAAAAATCCGACTCCATACAATCCCTTTGTTTCTCCTATATAGCAGAAAACATAGTCTGAATACTCTTCTATGTGGCAGCCCATTTTTCTTGTTTCTGAGAGTCCTAGTATGTCGCATTTTATATCTTTCAATGCATTATTGAGTTCTAAGTATCGGTGTATTGATGACAGAGACCTGACATTATAAGTTCCAATTTTTATACAATTCTTAAAGTCTTTGTTCAGTTTTAGTGGTTTTTTTTTTTGTTTTTGTGGTTTTCTCTGGAGGGGTTGTGGTCGTACTCTTCCGACGGGGACCAGCCGGCCTTGGAAGATGTGGATGTTTGTATTAATGTACATTTTTTCCAGTTTGGTTTGTTGTTGTTCTGGCTGAGGCTGGTCGGTTCGTTGCTATATATTTGTGGTGTTGGCTTGTGTGTTTTTTTCTTGTTATTGTTATTGTTTGTTAGATAGTTTAGTATGCTCGGTTTTACTCCAGCCTTCGGAAAAGCTTGAAGACCTTTGGATTATGTGGGCAGCCAAGGTTTTGTTCTTTTTGTTTGCTTGAGATATCTGCCCGGCATGGTTGATTGTTTATTCTCTGGAGATTCTGATAGATTTCTTTTATTGTTTTTCGGGTCTTTGGATGATTATTTGTAGAACAAGCTTGTCGTATTATTTAATAATGGCTTTATTACCCTTCTCTCTTTCTGCTATAACTTGCTCCTGTAGCTCTTTTCTTTTTTGCAAGACTGATTGAGGGTAGTCTTCTTTGATATAATACGGTGTTTCTTTTAAAGCTCCTTTGCCCTTTAAGATATCTATCTTCTTGCCAAGTGTTGTGAAAGTAATAACTATCGGTCGTGGCTTTTTAGTCCTCTTCCCTATTCTTCTGATCGCTTGTAAGTCTTTATGGTCTATTTGTATTGGGAAGTATTTATGTACAAAGTCTACTATAGTGTTTTCTAAATTTGAGTAGGATTTTTCGTGTTCCTCCAATCCAAAGAAGACTAGATTACGTTGTCTTGATTGTCTCTCCATGTAGTATAATCTTTGCTCTTGATTTTCCACCCTCGACTTAAGGTTTTCATGTTTTTCTTCCAAATTTTTTAATTTCTCTTCTAGTATCTTATTTATATTTAATGTTACGTTCTCTGTCACTTCTTCCCCTTTTTTGTGTATAAGTTTTTTCTGTTCGTCGAGTTCTTTTTGAATAGAAAGAAGTGCGGTCATTACCTGCTCCATTGTCAATTTAAAGTATAGTTGCTTTGTTTACCATGCAGGTAACCCCTATTGATGATCTTGGGAACTTGGTAGCAAGACAAAATTCATTAATGATCTTTTAATAGTGACCTCTTTTGCCAATTGACGGAACTTTTTTCGTGGGTCGATTTAGTTGAGTTTGACATAAACCGCTCTTCGTCGTCGTCTAATAGATGGCGTTAGTGTACGATGACTTCGGAATTTTTATTATATTTGTTTTTTATGTAGTTTTTTTTTTTTGTAGAATTTTCACTAAATTACTACATAGTTATTCTAGTCAATAATTAATTATTTCACAGCCACTAGCAGTTTTGCGATGTATAAAGTTGTATAAACTTCTTTATTTATACTGTTTTGTCTTTAAAAGTCACTGGGTAGGTACATAAACTTTACGAGCACAATTTTATTTTATTTTTTTGCACTGCTGAGTACACTATTTTTGCTATTTTAATTTTGTCCTTAAATAATGCACACTCAAGTTCTTTTTGATATTATTTTCACTGTAACTTCACGCTTTTTTATATTTAAGTTCGTAAGAAAACACAGAGCCGATGTTGACATTTGCTCAGCCTCGGCGGGGTGGTTATCTATATCCTCCGATAACTACTTAACCACCTGGTGGGCTGTGAGTTCGTACATCCATCTTCTTCTTTTTATTTCTTTCCTATTACCCTCTGCTGGGGTGTAGGGCTCGAATCAAATATTTCCATACACATCGGTCTTGGGCAGTTCTAACTAATTAACGTACTCGTCGAACTGGACAAAGAGTTCGCCGTGCAACCTAACCCATGAATCAGCTCGCTGAGTTTCTCGTCGGATCTTCTCAGCGAATTTGCGAAGCAGCTGCTCTTGAGTTGTTAGGTCTCCTTCGGAGGCGCTCGGGCAGCTGTTAGCAAATCCCACGCCTCCCGGCTGAGCCTTTGCTCGCCCACCTGTCCTGGTGAAACTGGAAAGGCCTACGGGCCCAGTAATCCTCCAATCATAAAAAAAAAAGTTCTAACTCCTCCCACGTCATGCTCCACCGAGCGACGCCAAGTTGTTATGGAACGGCTTTAACAATAAAAAAGGTTTTTCTACTTAATTTTAAATCGTTTCTTCTAAAAACTTGCAGCTACGTGAAAATGTATCTGCTGTACAACGGGCAACGCATCGCCAAGAAGAAGACCCACGTGAAGAAGCGCACCCTGAACCCGGTGTTCAACGAGTCGTTCGTGTTCGAGGTCCCGGCCGCGCCCAACGCCGCGCTCGACCACGTGTCGCTCGAGCTGCTCGTGCTGGACTGGGACCGCGTCACCAAGAACGAGGTGGGCCCTGCGCTTTCGTACTACGAGTCGAGATAAATGCGAATGTCTGAAACGTTCTTTCCAATTTGGGGTTACTGGTGGTTTGGACGTCTGTTAGCTTCACCAGGACAGCTGAGTAAGGGATCAACCAGGACCGATTTTCCTTGTGGTGTACTTCTCGTTTCTATAGTCCAAATTCATGGCACAAAAATTGTGTAAAACTAAAAAAAGGCAAAGGAATAGTCTCTATTACAATTTGATAACTAACGAATCCTGAATGATAATATCTGTGTCACAGTATGAAGAAGATTTTTTTTTTTAATAATTTGTGATTGAACTTAATACGAAATGTAGCGAAAACGTATGATTTCTAATTGGTGATGGTCCTGTCTATTTCTCCTGTGTGCTTAGTGCGAGTTTCTTAACGTGCTCGATAGCGTAAAAGTTAACGCAATTTTGTATGCAGTAAGGAATAACGCCCCTAGCGGCAAACGTACGCAAACGCAATCCCATTCCATACAAATATGAATTAACTTTTACGCTATCGAGAACGTTAAAAAACTCGGGACTAAACAGCACACAGGTGTCGATACCAACGTTAATTGTGAGGCCAGCGTCGCACCAGCATTTGGGCCAATCTCGAGGCACCGAAAATGGGAGCACTTGCAAGACATCGTTATTTTCACAAATGGAGATTTCCTCTCGTTTTTGTAGGTCTTTTATCACTTGTATGTGTATACCGCACTAAGCACATTGACAGCCGTTATTCAAATTGCGCGTTTGGGATGGTATGGACATGTGATGAGACGAAATGAAAATTAGGTTGGTAAGAGAGTGTTAACTATGAATGTGGAAGGATATAGAGGAAGAGGTAGACCTAAGAAGAAATTGATGCATTGCGTGAAAGACGATATGGGTAAGAGGGGAGTGAGCGAAGAAATGGTGTATGATAGAAGAATATGGAAGGAGAAAACATGCTGCGCCGATCCCAGGTGACTGGGAGAAGATTTAATTATGATTTTCATCGGTCTCCGTGATCCAGGTGATCGGTCGGCTGGAGCTGGGCGCGGCGGCGGCGGGCGGCGCGCGGCACCACTGGCGCGAGGTGCAGGCGGCGCCGCGACGACAGATCGCCGACTGGCACAAGCTGAAGGAGTAGACGCGCCTCCACCTCCACACCTCCAACTGTCCCCGGGCTCTATAGTTACGACCACTCTATTTATGCGCGAATACATTCCTATTTTTCCTTCAAAAAGTCCACTGAAAAAATATGAGTAAATGACCACCATTTTACTGAGATTATACCTCATCCCATATCATCTCATTTAATTTAATTTCATCCCAGTTGATTAATGTCTCAAATTACATTTCATTTAATTTCACTCCATAATATCATTTTTCATAAAAATAAGAATATAAATTAACATAAGACATGAATTAAAGGTCTTAGTTACCAGGTCATAAAATCCGATTAAAAAAAACATTCACATTTGAAAGTCCCTATTTTATATGACTCATATTAAGACTCCGGCCTCATATCTCACGGTTCTTGGCAGCACTCACATACTGGTAATGAGCTTTCATGACGACACCAGACGAGTTATATGTCAGATTATAATCGATGTAATGCAACTGATAACAAAATCTGCTATAAATCTATACTAAATATCTAGAAAAAAACTATTAATTTAATTAAATACTCATTACCTTGAAGTACTCTACGTTAAATAATCAAAGATCCCGCATAGAACTGTGAAGTTTAATCTCAACACAAAATCCTGTCCACAAAAATTTCCTTCACATAACATTAATGGTTTTACTATAGAACCCAGACTCTAAATAATATACTTGTCTACTGTTACGTGCATTTGTAAAATTCTGGCAATTGATTCGTTACGTAACAGATAGTATCGTGCGTTAAAAATAATCAAATACTTATATATTTACTGGTGGTAGGACTTCTTGTGAGTCCGCGCGGCTAGGTACCACCACCCTGCCTATTTCTGCCGTAAAGCAGTAATGCGTTTCGGTTTAAAGGGTGGGCAGCCGTTGTAACTATTCTTAAAACCTGAACTTATATCTCAAGGTGGGTGGCGCATTTACGTCGTAGATGTCCATGGGTTCCAGTAACCACTTAACACCAGGTGGGCTGTGCGCACGTCCACCCATATAAGCAAAATAAATAAATAATCTAAAGCTGGAATTTAGTCTGCTATATCAAACTATCTTATTGTAAGGAAAGTTTGACCGATACATAACGTGCGTGTACAAAGCATAAACTGCAAATCATCGCTCAGCTGATAAACATCGCAATTCAAATTTGCTTAACTTCTAGCAGAAACAAAAAATCTGAATATCTTCTAAGGATCTTGTTAGATTAACGTAATTCTTTCATAAATACGATACGTTATACCTACTTTATGTTTATGGACATTACACATATGTCCTTACGGGTCCATCAGATCCAATAACTCTTGCATTTGATACCTTCAGCTCTAACACTAGGAGCAGGCTGAGGAACCCCGGTAACCGTACTCGTCGAACTCGACAAAGAGGTCGACGTGCAACCTAACCCATGCATCAGCCCGCTGAGTTTCTCGCCGGATCTTCTGAGCGGGTCGCGATTCCGATCCCGTAGTAGATTCATTCGCGAAGCAATTGCTCTTGAGTTGTTAGGTCTCCTTCGGAGGCGCTCGGGCAGTTGTTAGCAAATCCCATCCCTCCTGGCTGAGCCTTTGCTCGCTCACCTGTCCCGGTGAAGCTGGAAAGGCCTCGGGGCCATCACCAGTAATCTTTCAATCATAAAAAAAAAACGAACAAAATCCTTAGAAGATACGCAGAATTATGTCTCTGCTGTTCAAAGAAGTATATTTAACTTGTGCAGCTTATCGGCTAAATACAACGTATTTTAATTTTGGTCTTTACCAAAAAGCAAAGCCGGGGTCCAGTGAAGAGAAAAAACGTATTTAGAAACATTAATTTGTAATTACATTATAATTTTATATTAGATAGACAAAAATATAGTTTCGTATGATTCGTAATGAAAATATAAGTAATGTTTTCGTTTTTTCGTTATGTTGTTGCGACCCGCGATTCATCAGAACGGCGCCTGATCATGTCTAATAACTGATATAATTGAAAAATGATCATTAAAGCAAACGTTGGACTAAAACTATTTGAAAATAAATGCTTCAGACATTGACAGTGTCCATGATTTAGAATAAAATGATAGCGCACAGTATTACATTTCTTAATTTCGATAGCATTTTCATTAGCAATTCTAAAGAATAGCAATTTCATTCAATGTCTTGAAACAAATTTAAATACAATAGAATGTTAGGAAACATATATAAGATCTAAGAAGAAACCACATTAATTTATATATATTTAGCATTTTTGGAATATATACATTTTGTGTTCCCATAATAAGTATACATGAACTTGTTCACACCAACATTTACTGCAAATGTTTTAGTGAGCAACATTATAAAGTCGCCCGTGTTATCTTAAATTGATTTACATATCTAAAGTTAAGTCACACATTGAGTTAGAGCGCAAATTTCGGACAATTTAGCAAAAACATTAGCTAAAAAAAACTTCCAAATACATCTTTTAACCGTTTACTGTAATTAGGGGGCGTCCATTAATTACGTGAGGCGTTTTTGAGAATTTTTTGACTCCCTCTCCTTCCTGGGTGAGATATCGTAAGATTTTTATCAACTCCTTCCCTCCCTCCTCTAATCTCACGCGAGATTCTTCAAAACTTCTATTTGGACGGTAAACGTGTTGGATAATTGAGAAAAAAAAACTTACTTACTCTATTACTTTTATTGAAGACTAGCAAAGACTAGTAATTGTGAATATTACCTTAATTTAAAATCACAATCATAAAATTAAATAATAAATATCAAACAAAAATTAAGAAAAGATTTATTCTAATTCAATCCATGGAGACTCGTGCACGGCCTCAAGAGTGACTACTGGAACCAATATATCCAAGTGTTTTTCACCACACCGTTTTCTGCGAGAAATTTAATTACGTGATATTTGCGAGCCCCCCCCTCCCCTATAAGTGAGATTTGGAAAGATTTAGCTTGATCCCCTCCCCCCCTAGAACACCTCACGTAATTAATGGACGCCCCCTTAAAGTAGTACGTAATCTCATACTATGTGTTGTAATACGTAGGCGAACCATGATCTTTGGATTCGCAGTTTTTCTTTTGGAATAACGTTTGTAGTCGAATAATCAAATATTAAATGAATGTATCGTAAAATAATTACATGTTAACCGATAAAAATAAGGAACAATGCAGTTCTGTTCACGCTCTAAAAGGTTTGTATTCGTTGGTCAAAAAAAACTGGTTTGAAAAACACTTTTAGGGTTTAAAGCGTGGACACAATTGAATTTATTTAAATACTCATTAAATGTATAGGTTTTAGGGTACAGATATGAAATCTATTTTATACTATCTATAGTTGTTACTCTCTTTAGTATAGTGTGAAGCTCATGACAAAGCTTTGAGCTTAGAGTCACTGTGTACTTTTTCGTGTTTCACGTAGAGGACGCTTTCACTGTGGATCCCATTTGGTAGAAATGTTTATTAAACTAACCAAAACCCATGAATGTGTACATTACTTTTGTTTAATTATAAAGCTTAGCGTAGATTTAAGTAAGCCATTTATTTATCTCTCTCTTTGGTTTTAGATGTTACGATTTTTGTCGAGTTAACATTAAGAAAGTTTTATCTATATTTGGTGTATTGTAAAAAAATCCATACTAACACATTCCATAAATGTAAAACTGTAAATAAAATTTTGCTTCGGTCATCGAAATTGCTCTCGTAATTTACGTATAGAGATTAAGATAATTTATATTAGATTTTAAGAGTCTGTTTGCGAGTTGAATGTTGAGATTTCGATACGTGAGGCAATTAAAAATTGTCTTGTCCTTAAAAATTGTTCTCAAAATCCATTGCGCAAACAGAACGTCAATGTTTTTATTTTTAATAAAAATATTTTTTTTTTTATTTATAATCCTAAATGTTTCTTAAGTGTTGTAGAAGCGACCACAAAAAATTAATGCATGTTTTGAAAAAAAAAAATGCATGTTTTGAAATATATAAAAAAAAAACTGATATTTTGAAACGAAACCGCTCTATTCCCTCCTTTTTCTTTTACTTCAAACTGATAGTCAAATCAAAGTATTTTTCGAGTATTTATGTTTCAATAAATTTTAGCCAAAGCTCTGAATGACGAAGTACAATTAATTAAATTTTCAAAATATCAGTTTTCAATAAAACTTTAAACTGTAAGCACACGTAGTAATGGCTCCCGCTCCATCAACACCAACCAAGGGAATGTTAGAAAATAAATTATTGACTGGTGCTTTCACAATAATCGTTCGTTTTATTTCTAAATAAATTTTACCCTCTTATTACGTCACACATCCAAGGGCGGATCCAGCTTTGGTGCCAGGAGGGGGTCACATAGTCATGGTCAAGTCAAGAACTTATAACCAATTTAATTTTGATAACAATAGATACAAGTAAAAAGTAGGTATTTTATTAATGTACGTAAGTACTGTACTTAAAAATATTTATTCTTTATTGTACACTTGAAAAACTTAACACATAATAACTTGTACGTATACACGTACATATTGTCATGTTCTCTTGAAGACATCCAGAGAAGCACTATCACGCCCAGAATGAGGCAGCTTATTTATATTCCATAACCGTGGTCCTAAAATCATTATGTTCAACATGTGGTCCACCTGGAACCAGCTCAGGGGGGGTCATGACCCCCATGACCCCCCCCTTGGATCCGCCCTTGCACACCACTATAAATACATCCATTTATCATTGAATTGTAACTATGATTGAATGTTCATAATAGGCGATAAACAGGATATATGAAATAACCCTTTCACCTATTTTACGACCCCTTCAGATCTTTATTTAAGTATCTCTTGTTATCTTAGGTATTCTTGCAATTTTTGATACGTAACGTAGCGTAGTTTACTGTTGACTGTTGTAAGACTTATGGGGAACCCAGTGGCGTAGCGAGCTTAACTCGCGGTCGGGGCACAATACGTTTTTAGCGCCCCTATTTAGACTAGGGTAAAGCCGAGATAGATGCCCCACTTTTTGAAATATTCATCTAATTTTATTGGTGGTAGGACCTCTTGAGAGTCCGCGCGGGTAGGTACCATCACCCTGCCTATTTCTGCCGTGAAACAGTAATGCGTTTCGGTTTGAAGGGTGGGGCTGCGATTGTAACTATACTTGAGACCTTAGAACTTATATCTCAAGGTGGGTGGCGCATTACCTTGTGGATGTCTATGGGCTCCAGTAATCACTTAACACCAGGTGGGCTGTGAGCTCGTCCACCAATCTAAGCAATAAAAAAAAATCGAAGCTTCAATTTGTTTTACACTCTAGTGCAATACAATTAAGGTGCATTTCACGGTTTTCACATCAAACTGGAAACGAAATCGAATACCCTATGTAACTTAGCCTCACTTAGCTCTGCTAGTTTACATGGCTAAGTTTACTACAAATTGTGGTCTGCACAAAAGTATCAATAATTACTTCAACTATGCAAACCTAAGCTAGACTAAGCATAGCATTTGAAATTAAAGCTTACAAATAAATTGAATTTTTTTTTCTTTTTCTTAGATGGGTGGACGAGCTCACAGCACACCTGGTGTTAAGTGGTTACTGGAGCCCATAGACATCCACAACGTAAATGCGCCACCCACCTTGAGATATAAATTCTAAGGTCTCAAGTATAGTTACAACGGCTGCCCCACCCTTCAAACCGAAACGCATTACTGTTTCACGGCAGAAATAGGCAGGGCGGTGGTACCCACCCGCGCGGACTCACAAGAGGTCCTACCACCAGTAATTACGCAAATTATAATTTTGCGGGTTTCATTTTTATTACACGATGTTGTTGATACTAACAGTGTTATTATTTAAGAATCCTTTGTATACATAATAACACCCTTTAGAGGCTAAGCCAGGATCTGTTGAAAAACTCAACTTGGAGTTCAATAAAACAACATTATTGTTATCAATTGTATATATTTGATATCAAATCTTATTATAGTATAACACAGCTAACAAAAAACATATACATACGTGTCTTTTATGATCGGTATTCTAGTTAATTTTTGAAACCGAGAAATTATACTTCTAATACATGGATGTCATATAAGTACTACATTTACTGAGGATTTAACATACTCATTATTGAAAACACGATTAATTGTTGAAACATTCGATACAAAACGTGAATGCTTCTGAACGTTGTTTAGTAAGATTACTCATAATAAATATTATTTTATTGCCTATTATTAATTTGTATAAGAAAAAATCATTTATTAGCAACACTTAATCACTGTTGAATTATATGTATTATGGGATTCCCCTGTGAATTTTATTACACATTATTTTATTATTACGCATTCAAATTAGATATGTGTAAAAGTACTGGATGTAGGTTGTATATGTTCTTGGAGGAGAATCCGATTCAAATAACTTTAAAAAAAACGTGTAAATTTATCGTCACATAGTAGTTTCATTATTATTTACGTGGAACATCAAAAATTCTAATCATTAACATTGTTAATACAACACACACATATACACATTAGTTTATCGTATTTAGACAAAAAAAAAATCAACGCTACATAATTATATTGTCTTTTTTTTATAATACAATCCTTAGTTGGACGTCTTTTTTATTAAAGATTACGATCTACCCGCGTTCCGCTTTATTCAACTAGGGATGTCAAATCAGTTTTACAACAGCGAAACTTTGATAATTCCATTTATTTTTAAACGATTTATTTGGTATTTTTGACAAGATTCCTTTTTGAAAGTTGACATTACGATAGGATTAGGATAACATTTTTAATATTCTTCATCACAATTCGATAAACAGAGAAGGGAGAACAAAGTCATCTCAGCCTAAGCCCCAAAGAATTTCTGAATACAGATACAATAACAAATCAGACAGAACTAAACGATAAACACAATCAGCATGTGTACAATTCAACGTGTTAGATTTGTTTTATTGCCCTTGTAGGCATACGAGCATACGGCCCACCTGATGGTGAGTGGTTACCGTCGCCTATGGACTTCAACAATGCCAGGGGCAAGCCGCTGCCTACCGCTTAATACTCTCCACAAGTCTCTTTTAAAGAAGAACACGTCATAGCGCTCGGGAAACACCGTGGAGGGAGGCTCATTCTATAGCCGGATGGTACGTGGCAAAAAATACCTCTGGAAACGCAGTCGATGAACGCAGCGGTTCCAGATGATAAGGATGAACTCTGTTCCGATGGCGGGAGGTGCGATGATAAAAAGGAGATCTGGGGATCCAAATCCATCTCAAAAATCCATCTCAAACAATTCCTCAGAGTACTCCCCATGAAACAAAATACAGAGGGAACCGAAGTCCCTCCGCAGACCCAGAGGTTCCAAACGATTCAAACAAGAACTTAGAATTGCGTTGTATGTATTTATTTATGTAGACGAACATTTTCCTATTTGGTACCCTTAACAAATTTACAATTAATATTGAATTTACTCTTCACTTGTATTAGAACGTGATGTGTTACGCAACGAATTCGATGTGCTCGTGTCTTTGTTGATGTCCATGAGCGATAGTCACTACTGACCATCTGATAGGCCGTAAGCTCATCGTCTGAGAAACCAAATAAAAAACCCCGATTTTTCTGTAACGCGCAAGACTTGAAATGGTGATGACAAGTTGCTTGAGTGATTTAACGTGACTCTTCAATACGAAAATCTTGGATAAATTCCAGATAATTCATCTAAGCTGTTTTATTTACAAACACACGCACGTCTGTAAAAAGCAATTAACCCGTTTTGATCCTTGGAGACTGCGGACCGCCAGCGATAGTGGAGGTAACGCCCAGTAACAAGGTGGATGGAGACGAAAGACCCAGGTTTGGATGTCCGGGAGTAGACTATAATAGGCTGTTAATGATTGTGATGATGATCCTTCGAGCAAGTATTTGTGGTTGCCCAAAAATGATTTTAAAATAAGGCATATCAAGCGAATTGGGTACCAGCGAAAATACTTCAAAATAATTGCAAGAAATGAAACCTTTTTTTATTGCCCTTGTAGGCAGACGAGCATACGGTCCACCTGTTGGTGAGTGGTTACCGTCGCCATATCAAACCTGTTTTAGAAACGGTCATAAAATTCACCATACTACTAAAGTGTAACGTGGTCCTTTTGAAGGTCTCTTTCGCACTTATTTTGAAACGCATATTGATATTGCGCGAAAAAGAGACAGCGTAAGTTTTACCTACACTAAAAATGTCTTCATGAATACAAGTTTTGTTCTTCGGCGTCTTTTATGACTGAGATTCTTTATTTACGAGCAAAAGACAAATGTCAATCATTAAAATTACATATTACTATGTCTAAACAAATATGTTTATTGCTAATAAAATGAAGATATGATCCAATATTCAGATATGTTTCAACCGATTCATTACATATAAAAATTTTTGGTCCAAAGTTTTTAATGTTTTTTTTTTAATTTAAGCGTTGACTAAGATTTCTTAAAAGTAAAAAAAAACTAAAAAAAACGAAAAATTAGGTTTCGATTTTATTGTCATTATGGCATTTGACTTGTATAATTAGGCTTTGGTTAATTTTTTATATACAAGTTTCCGAAACAATAAAAAACTATTGTAAAATTAAAAGCAGATTTTACACACACAAATACAAGCAAAAGATCATAATATTATAAATAAAAAAAATAAGACTGATTATCTTACGGTAACTGTATTTGATACGAAAAAAAAAAGATAAATCTAAAATAAACTAATCAAAAAGTAATTACGTAAAATTCATAAATATTCCTAAATAGCTTAATGTAATAATACATACCGAATTTAATAGGCAAGATCCTTGAATCGACATACGATCTGTTTTTTTTATAGATTAGGCAAGTTCGAATAGAATCAATACTCTGAAAAAAATCTTCATAAAATCAACGATATGAAGATAAAAGACAAAGAAAACAGTCCAGAGCTTTTCTATCGGAACTGAACGTTTTTGATACTTGCTACGGGCTTACATGTACATTGATAAGATCATTAATTCTACTTAATAATACAACAATATATTATATACGAATTATCTACGGTTAGCCTTATAATTAGGATTATAGTTGAGTATCTACGTATAAGCGATCAGTGGTTTAGGACATCAAAATTACGAAAATTCGGTGTTACACAGTGTACTTAAAATTTAAATGAGTATATCTTATAAGTGTTATCTATGAAACGTGCCCGTGATGTTGGCCCTTAACTATCCAACACAAACAATTTGTTGCATCGATAGATTCAGTACCACCTTAAATATAAAGGACAAAAGAATTATGAGTTTTTTTTTTTCAATTTTACATTTCACATCTACCGTCATGGAAACGCGTATTCATTAAAGCTTCACACCGTAATAAATTTCGGTATACACAATCTACAAGTGACAAAAATTTTTTAAGAAAAGAAAGTGAAATCTCCATTTGTGAAGATAACGATGTCTTGCAAGTGATCCCATTTTCGGTGCCTCGAGATTGGCCCAAATGTTGGGGCGACGCTGGCCTCACAAGTAACGTTGGTATCGACACCTGTGTGCTGCTTTGTGCGAGCTTTTTAACGTTCTCGATAGCGTGAAAGTTAACTCAAGTTTGTATGGAGTTGGAACAGCGCCCCTAGCGGCAAACGTAGGCAAACATTCCAAGTCCATACAAATATGAGTTAACTTTTACGCTATCGAGAAAGTTAAAAAAAATCTCGTTCTAAGCACACTGCGGTTTGGAGTAGGACGGCACACGAGTTCCATATCGGTTGGATTAAAGCAGGCCCCGATCGAGTTCCTTGCGTAGCATCCTCGACAGTTTGAGGACGTCCTCGTCAACTTGGCCGGAGAAGAGTGAATCGAGCAACTCACCTCGGGATGCGAGAGCGAACACTCCAGCGAGCCTGGACACAGACTTGTCTGAGAGGTGACGTTCTACAACCGACCTGGAAATAATACGCGAGATAATTAATATTGACGGTATTTCTTTCTTTCTTTCTATGGGAAACCAACAGTAAATATATGAAGCACGGTATTCGTAAAAATCAATTACCATCTAAAACAGCTACAGTTGTTTCTAACAAAAAATTGAAATTGTTTTTTTTTATGATTCTTTATTAGAGCCTTTATTATTACACCTGTTAGGTTAAGTCGGCTAAATAAATATATAAATAAAGTCGCTCTTAACAATAAATCCGTATATAACATCAGCCTAGTTCATTTAAAGTCGATTCTAACCGACTTTAGTGGCGGCCTACACGTGTATTAATAAGTTTTAAGCTGCACATGAAATAGAACAGCTTACTTGAGCGATTGGTGTGAATCGCGCAGCGCGTCCTGCAGGAAGCCGCGGTCGTACGAGAATTCCACTTCACAGAAAGACACCACAGCCATCAACACGGTCTGAAATAGTTACAACTCAAACTTCGGTACCTGTTTTATGTCTAAGCTCAAAAACATTGCAATTTCAAGTTTAAGTTTTCAGATTCTAATGTGATTTGCACGTGATTTTAATTGAATATGCAATTTCGAAAAGGGCACGCGCTCTGAAAATATAAAATGTTCAGGAATTGAAAAAAAAACTGATCATTTTCTATAGCAGTGTAAAATTTAAAATATTAACTTTTGAGATATATTTTAGTGTTAATTAGCAATTGAAAATTACTGGAATTATTATAAAATGGGTGTAGGTAAGCCTCAAAACTATATGTATATAAAAAAACGTATTTGACAAAATATGCGACTTGTGCCCTTTTCGAAATTGCATATTCAATTGTAAAGGAATGTAATATAACACCTGTTTTTTTTATTTTTTTTATTGCTTAGATGAGTGGACGAGCTCACAGCCCACCTGGTGTTAAGTGGTTACTGGAGCCCATAGACATCTACAACGTAAATGCGCCACCCACCTTGAGATATAAGTTCTAAGGTCTCAATTATAGTTACAACGGCTGCCCCACCCTTCAAACCGAAACGCATTACTGCTTCACGGCAGACATAGGCGGGGCGGTGGTACCTACCCGTGCGGACTCACAAGAGGTCCTACCACCAGTAATTACGCAAATTATAATTTTGCGGGTTTCATTTTTATTACACGATGTTATTCCTTCACCATGGAAATCAATCGTGAACATTTGTTGAGTACGTATTTCATTAGAAAAATTGGTACCCGCCTGCGGGATTCGAACACCGGTGCATCGCTCAACACGAATGCACCGGACGTCTTATCCGTTAGGCCACGACGACTTCATATGTACAATTAAAAAGCCTAAAGCGACCATTTGTTCCGGTTCGTATGGTACGACAGTTATTGATCAAAGCAAACGCGGCCTTATGTCTTAAATCTCGAAAGTGCATTCCAGTAGTACTCAATAAATACATTCTTTTAAATAGCCTGTAAATTTAAAGAACACGATTTCCTATTTATGAAATAAAATCGAATAATACATATGCATTTGGGAAACTAAAGTATAAAACAAACATTTCTAAAATAACTGAAACAAAAAACCAAATAAGCTTCCAAAATCAAAATCACATCTATGTAGAAAGTGAACAAAGAAAAGCAAATATAAAAAAATTTATAAATTTTAAGTATACTCGTTGTTGAGTTTGTTCTGTCTATATATGTATACATATAGCTTACGTGGAATTTGGATCTGAAAGCTTCAAGGGCTCGGTCATCCGCCGCGGACAGCTGCGAGTGTCGCCGTAACACTCCCAGCTTAACTGCTGATTTGATGACGTGTTTCACCAGTTTTTCTGCTTCGCGTTTTTCGACTCGCTCCCTCAGGACGATCAGAAACTAAAAAAAAAATTGTCTGCGACTATTAAAGGAATTACGTTTGGGTTTTAATCTATACATATAAATAAAATTGGAGTGTCTGTTTATAATATTGAAATAACCGCTTTTTACTACATGCATATGAATATATATACGGTACATACTATAATATAATAAATAGCATATAGTATATAGCTCATAGCACAACAAATCAAATCAAATCAAAAATTTTTTTAATCAACATAAATGAAAGTACATGCTTGTTGAACGTCAAAAAGAACTACCGCCAATTCACAAAAACGAGCCTCAGTCCTGAGAGAACTGGCAAGAAACTCAGCGGGCATGTTTTTTTTTTAAATATTATTATTATTATCTTTTTAATATTTTTTTTAAATATTCATTTTTACAATAGCTATTATAACGTAACAATTATTGCAATATTGAAATGCCCGGAGCGAGCAACTCATTCCCAACAATGTCGCACACCATAATATATTGTTATGGACACGTTCACACTGTACTGTACTATATATTATTGGCTAAGTATAGTCTGTCATACTATATGGCACTATAGTATAGCGTAGTCTGAGAGCAGCTTTAGGCAATATTGAATAGATAACCTTTCTAACCTTCATTACTTTTCTGTTCTTTTTTTAATTTTTGTAATTTATGTTCGGAATAAATGCTAATGATTATTATTATTATACTCGTGTACTCATAAAATTGATGCATCGTGAATTTCGATAAATTTTGTGAAACTGTTTAAAGTTAATAACAGTTTATTTCAATAATCTTTTCTATATATTAATACGTGAAGCAAAAACTTTGTATCCCTTTTTACGAAAATTGCGCGGACGGAGGAGTATGAAATTTTCCACACTTATAGAGAATATAGAGAAGAAGTGCACAATGCTAATATTTTTTTAAAGTTATGCATAAAATATACATTAAATCAATAAATAAAACATTACACACACTACATACCATGTATTTGAAGCACACACGCATGCATACTATTTATTGTCAAACTTTTGTTCTTGACGTCTGTTGTCAAATTGAGAATAGATTAAATATTGTTTGTCTTTGTTAATATTTTTTATAGTGTAGTCTTGGCGAAATTTGTGATTATAGAAGTGTAAAATACAATAATAATAGTGTACAAGTTTACAATTCCAATTAATTATAGTCGAATTTCGACTACTGCGGGACCTCTAGTTACAGTAAATGAAACATAAGAAACGTCTCTATAATTAGTACGCAGTTACTTCTGTTTACGCGTCAGTAATTGTTGATGTGGTTGAAACATTATCCTGTTGTGTGTACGTTATTATTATATTTATATAAATATATATGTTATTTTATTATTATAACAGTTTTCTAAATTAAGAACGAGGAAAACTGTGCAAAGTTTCTAAAAGCAAATTATTGGTTAAATGTTACTAGTGAAGTCTTTTTCAATGAGAATTGTGCAATCGTGTGGCCACTTCAATTCTAAAATGAGCTACAAACATATCATCGCAATACATGTGTTGTCAGAGTCTCTTGCAAAGAACCGGCGAAACAAACTCAGCGGTTTTGTTTTCATAGTTTTTTTATTATTAATGAAATACAGTGCAACCCCTTTATATAGCAAATCGGAAGGGGGCAAGTAAATATTCGTTATATCAAGTAATTCGGTAAACTGAGGTGTTTTATATTAAGGTTAGGTTAGTCTACCATTTGTTATAAGGAGGTAAATAAAATAGTTTTATTCGCCTCAACATTACATACTCATTTTGTTATAGCGAACAACTTCTACTAATAAATGATAACACATTTTTATCAAATTACTGTATGTATGTATTTTCTATTTAAAAACAATTAGATTGGATAAAATTTTTCTCAAATCTGTTGAGACTGATTCACATACAATGGGATTAGGGTCATATTAAGGGTCACAGTTACTGGTGGTAAGACCTCTTGTAAGTCCGCACGGGTAAGTACCATAACCCTGCCTGTTTCTGTCGTGAAGCAGTAATGGGTTTCGGTTTGAAGGGCGGGGCAGCTGTTGTAACTATACTGAGACCTTACAACTTATATCTCAAGGTGGGTGGCGCATTTACGTTGTAGATGTCTATGGGCTCCAATAACCACTTAACATCAGGTGGGCTGTGAGCTCGTCGACCCATCTAAGGAATAAAAAAAAATTTGGTGAGAACGATATATAAAGGTTTTGGGTTGACAAAATTAGTTAATTGGAGATATTTACATCTTTTTTTGATACCTAGTTGAAAATTCTTTATAAAGAGGCTGTTCGCAAGAAATCTTCGCAATGTAAAGGTATATTTTACATCGACTCTTATGGACAATTCAAGGGGATAACGAAGAATTTGTTAAATCGAGGACATCGTTATATTGAGGTTCATTATATGAAGGTTGCCCATACCCGATCCTGTCGACCGAATGGTAAACAGTCGACGTCGCTCTAAACACGTCATTACGGATCCTCACGATCCATTAACGGTGCTTTTTAGGTACCACAAGCACTGGTCACCGTCCTCATCGAACCCGTCGCTTGCGATGAAGGGCTCAACGAGTGAATTAACCCATAGACACAGCCCACTGAATTTCTCACCGGATCATCTCAATGGGCCGCCTTTCCAATCCGGTGGTAGATTCTACGAAGCACTGCTCTTGCTAATGCCAATGTTAGTAATACTCCCGCTTAGAGCCCCGTCAGCAGTCAAGGAGAAGCTGAAATAGCCTCTCAAGGCTATCAGCATAGGTAGGAGAAAAAAAAGAAAAAATAATAAGGTTGCACTGTATTCAATAGCATTACTTTTATGCGCTCTGAAGCAGACACACTGGTCCTATTAAGTAATTCATTTAGCGTATACATTTATGGTAATCACGTGTGTGGTAATCACGACCAAATAAACATAACCATTTTGATATGTTATGAAGATAAGCTAAAGTTTGTTTACGCTAATAGGCGTGCAACTGTTTCGGAGGTTAAGTTAGGAACAGATTAGTAAACATAATGTATAATGAACCATTTAAATATTTATTTATACTTAGATAAAACTGATAACATATCGGTGCACGTTCAATATTGAAATGTGCGACATCTACCATAATAATGTTGAATGACGATCCTTTTATCTGAATTTGTCATGTCAATTGAATTGTCAACTTCATGCAATTCGTTACGCATAAAATTAAATTTAAAAAAATATGTACTTAAATCGATATAATAATAATAATAATAAATGGGAACAAATCACGTACTGTCATCTGGCCTCAATTTAGAATAAACAAAAACACCCAGACAAAGAGCAAGCAAAGCTGTTCGGGAATCGAACCCACGACCCTCAGCGCCACAGTCAGGAGCGCTAACTACAGCACCACCGAGTCAGTCAACGAAAAACGATACGTTACGATAACCCTCAGACACAGCCCACTAAGTTTCGCGCCAGATCTTCTCAGTGGGTCGCGTTCCGATCTGGTGGTAGATGCGAAGCACGGCTCTTGCTAGGGTTCGTGTTAGCAACGTCGTCAAGTTTGAGCTCCGTGAGCTTACCTACTAGTTAAGGTTACGCTGAAATAGCCTCTCAAGGCTCTCAGCTAGGTAGGAAAAAAAAAGAAAGAAAAAAAGCTACAATAAACATATTCGTTATTTAAATATTTCCACGCACCTGATCGAGTAGTTTAGCGGCATGCTCGTCCAAGACCAGGGCACGCGCGCTGCTGTTCCCTCCGACCCTCGACAGGAACTTCTTCTGGGCGCGGAGGGAGATGTCGCGAGCGCACCACGCGCCGTCCTCCGTTGCTGAAACATAACAAATGATAAGCCCATGAATAATACAACTACTACTACTGCGCTGGCGCTATAACCCTGAAGTGGGTTTTGCTAACACCAATAAACTTTGCCATTCATCCCGGCGCTGCGCAGCTCCTTGCCAGTCCGACACCTGGAGCTCACGTAAATTTCCTTCCACAGCGTCAAACCAGCGGTACTTGGGCCTCCCTACGGGGCGGGGACCCTCCCGGTACACTCGCGTACAGTATCCAGCGATAAATATTGCACATCGACCGTGGGAAAGAGACGATTAATTTTTGCTTTGTAAAGCGTTATATCTGTCGCACTAATTGACATTTAGTCTCCATAGATACCGGATCGTTAGTATTTCGTCACACACAGGTAACGCTCTACAACAAAAAGAAAATTAGACAGACGACTGTCTCTTTCTAAATATCGATGTGCAATGTTTATTGTCTGGTACTGTACACCTGTTTCACAGCGTTTTGGTGAGCCAAATATTCTGGGGGAAATGAAGGGACGGAGGTCGGAATAGCTTGGGCATGTAGTGAGTATGGAGTAGGATCGGGCTGTGAAACTATGAATAATGCTAGCACTAAATTTAGAATAGCAGAAAGTGAGGTTTTTAATGTCAATGGTTGTTTTTATTGCTTAGATGGGTTCATCGAGCTCACAGCCCACCTGATGTTAAGTGGTTACTGGAGCCCATAGACATCTACAACGCAAATGCGCCACCCACCTTGAGACATAAGTTCTAAGGTCTCTGGTATAGTTACAACGGCTGCCCCACCCTTCAAACCGAAACGCATTACTGCTTCACGGCAGAAATAAGCAGGGTGGTGGTGCCTACCCGCGCGGACTCTCAAGAGGTCCTACCACCAGTAATTACGCAAATTATAAGTATAGAACAGAGGCTTGGTTATACGTGTGAGAGAGAATATACCTTATATCACTATACGGCTCCAATAATATCAATGTATTCTGTTTTTTTTTTATTTGTAAAACCTAGTCTTTTTTGCACGTTCATAGTCGATTGCTATGCAAATGCTGTGTCATGCTTAACATATTTACACACTAAATTTCTTTACTACGTACGACTCACGACCAAGACTACAACAAAGCAAGAAATATGTTTAATACGTAATGTTTTGAAATTATACTTGAAAAGACTATATTTTCGTGTAAAACAGATCCAAAAGAAATAGGTTGGATTTGTTTTTGTAATTAATTCATTTGTTATATTATTTGATAGATAATATTGTATTGTTCCGAATAATATCTAAGTATATTTATTCCACACCACATCTAGGTATATTTATTCCAAATTCATGGAACGACTACCGTCGCTATGCCAAAATAAGGACTTATTAAAAGGACAAGTGTTTACTTTAGTAATTGAGAAATGTTAGCTTCATTTTTATTTATTTCTTAGATGGGTGGACGAGCTCACAGCCCACCTGATGTTAAGTGGTCACTGAAGCCGATAAACATCTACAACGTAAATGCGCCACCCACCTTGAGATATAAGTTCTAAGGTCTCAGTATAGTTACAACGGGTAACGGCTACTAACGGCTTTTTCCAGTAGTAACCTTATTCCAAAGCAGTCCTCTTTTACGCAGTCCCGGTTAGCGACACAATAAAAACACATATTCTATTCAAATGCAAAAAAAAACCCACATCGAACACCGCCTAACATAGACTTAGATATACCTAGAATTCGCAATGAACTGAAATACCTTAACGAGTAACCGAACCGGCACATAAAGCATTCAATACAGGATGGTCAAATTGATGTCGACGATATTTTTCCGTATTAGGTCTCTGTGCGAAGCGAGCTGAATTGATATGGCTAAAATTAAATGCTGTTTAATTGAAGTTAGCTTGGGAAAATAGACTTCTGAACTATCGTATGCTGTACGGAAAGGGTTTGATTTTTTTTTATTGCTTAGATGGGTGGACGAGCTAACAGCCCACGTGGTGTTCAGTGGTTACTGGAGCCCATATACATCTACAACGTAAATGCGCCACCCACCTTGAGATATAAGTTCTAAGATCTCAGTTAGTTACCACGGCTGCCCCACCCTTCAAACCGAAACGCATTACTGCTTCACGGCAGAAATAGGCGGGGTGGTCGTACCTACCCGCGTGGTCGCACAGGAGGTCCTACCACCAGTAATTACGCAAATTAAAATTGGCGGGTTTTTATTTTTATTACACGATGTTATTCCTTCATCGTGGATGATGACCGCGGTACGCTAGTTTATTTATTACTCGGAGAACGTCGCTACCCATTTTCCGGTGAATCCCTTTTACGAGAGGGAGTGTTGTAAACAAACAGAGACACAGGTAGCACACAGTCGCTCGACACATTCACGACACGTACAATGTATTCAATTTTTAGTAATGCTCTGCAAATTATTGTCTGAATAATTGTAAATAGACATGCTTTAACAAAAACCGACTTCAAATAATAATAAAAAAGTTATTCCAAAACAAATTACTTAATATACACTAAAAAAAATAATCATCGAAATCGGGTGGCGTGATATTGAGTTATTGAGTTATTCATCTATTTATCGCGCACGTACTTAATGCAAATTTAAGACTTATATTGTTTCCTCATAAATACCATTATCAGAACTAGACTAAATTGAAATGGGACTACACAGGAAGCGTTAGCTTTCTAATAAAATAAGAATCATCAAAATCAATTCACCCAGTCAAAAGTTATGAGGTACCAAATATAAAAAAAACATACTGTCAAATTGAGAACCTCCTCCTTTTTTGAAGTCGGTTAAAAATATAAAAATCTTAGCTTAAGAATCTAAATTCACAGATTTAAAAAAAACCGGCTTTTCTTAGCCACACGTAGTCAGTGCCATGTTTTGTTGTTGTTTACATTGATGTCAACTTTATTAATGGCGTCTGATCTCGTTTCTGTGGGATTCGCATAGTGCACGATTTTCTTGGGACATTAAAAAAAACCATAAATATAGGAAACTAAAAATATAGCATTCTAGAAATTGTACCTGAAACCACAAACTACGGTGAAGATAAAACAAAACCAGTAATAATTATTGGAGCAACAGATCAGATGTCGAAGACTTCAACTGTCCATATTGTAATTGATTGTATGTACATATATGCGATCATTAAAAAAGTAATTGATCTGAGAAAAAAAATTTAATAATGTAAAAAATTAAAATACAATTATCCTAAACGTCTTAAGTATATGTAAAATTTTGTCATTAGTAAATAATTGTAAGGTAGCGCCCTCTGTGAATTGATATTTTAATTTCACGTATAATCCTAAATTAAAATTCACTACAAGAGCTTTCATACACACGTTAGTATTAAAAAATCTCACAGATGGCGCTGTATTAAATAAATAGTATGTATATTTCTGTCTCANCGAAACGCATTACTGCTTCACGGCAGAAATAGGCGGGGCGGTGGTACCTACCCGTGCGGACTCACAAGAGGTCCTACCACCAGTAATTACGCAAATTATAATTTTGCGGGTTTGATTTTTATTGCACGGTGTTATTCCTTCACCGTGGAAGTCAATCGTGAACATTTGTTGAGTACGTATTTCATAAGAAAAATTGGTAGCCGCCAGCGAGATTCGAACACCAGTGCATCGCTAGATACGAATGCACCGGACGTCTTATCTTTTAGGCCACGACGACTTTTAAATTCCGATCCGGTGGTAGATGCGAAGCACGGCTCTTGCTAGGGTTCGTGTTAGCAACGCCGTCAAGTTTGAGCTCCGTGAGCTCACCTACTAGTTAAGGTTACGCTGAAAGAGCCTCTCGAGGCTCTCAGCTAGGTAGAAAAAAAAAAAGAAAAAAGCTACAATAAACATATTCATTATTTAAATATTTTCACGCACCTGATCGAGTAGTTTAGCGGCATGCTCGTCCAAGACCAGGGCACGCGCGCTGCTGTTCCCTCCGACCCTCGACAGGAACTTCTTCTGGGCGCGGAGGGAGATGTCGCGAGCGCACCACGCGCCGCCCTCTGTTGCTGAAACATAACAAATGACAAATGATAAGCCCATGAATAATACAACTACTACTACTGCGCTGGCGCTATAACCCTGAAGTGGGTTTTGCTAACACCAATAAACTTTGCCATTCATCCCGGCGCTGCGCAGCTCCTTGCCAGTCCGACGCCTGGAGCTCACGTAAATTTCCTTCCACAGCGTCAAACCAGCGGTACTTGGGCCTCCCTACGGGGCGGCGTCCCTCCGGTGCACTCGCGTACAGTACCTGGCGATAAATATTGCACATCGATCGTGGGAAAGAGACGGTTAATTTTTGCTTCGTAGAGCGTTATATCTGTCGCACTAATTGACATTTAATCTCCATAGATACCGGATTGTTGGTGTTTCGTCGCACACAGGTAACGCTCTACAACAAAAACAAAATTAGACAGACGACTGTCTCTTTCTAAATATCAATGTGCAATGTTTATTGTCTGGTACAGGTGTACAGTACAGCACCTGTTTCACAGCGTTTTGGTGAGCCAAATATTCTGGGGGAAATGAAGGGACGGCCCGAATAGCTTGGGCATGTAGTGAGTATGGAGTGGGATCGGGCTGTGAAACTATGAATAATGCTAGCACTAAATCTAGAATAGCAGAAAGTGACGTTTTTAATGTCAATGGTTGTTTTCTAACGTTGATACAGTAAGTTTTTTTTTATTGCTTAGATGGGTGGACGAGCTCACAGCCCACCTGGTGTTAAGTGGTTACTGGAGCCCATAGACATCTACAACGCAAATGCGCCACCCATCTTGAGACATAAGTTCTAAGGTCTCTGGTATAGTTACAACGGCTGCCCCACCCTTCAAACCGAAACGCATTACTGCTTCACGGCAGAAATAAGCAGGGTGGTGGTGCCTACCCGCGCGGACTCTCAAGAGGTCCTACCACCAGTAATTACGCAAATTATAAGTATAGAACAAAGGCTTGGTTATACGTGTGAGAGAGAATATACCTTATATCACTATACGGCTCCAATAATATCAATGTATTCTGTTTTTTTTTATTTGTGAAACCTAGTCTTTTTTGCACGTTCATAGTCGATTGCTATGCAAATGCTGTGTCATGCTTAACATATTTACACACTAAATTTCTTTACTACGTACGACTCACGACCAAGACTACAACAAAGCAAGAAATATGTTTAATACGTAAGGTTTTGAAACTATACTAGAAAAGACGATATTTTCGTGTAAAACAGATGCAGAAGACACATGTTGGATTATTTTTCTTGTAATCAATTCATTTATTATATTATTTTATATATAATACTGTATTGTTTTGAAGTATATTTATTTCACAACGGTAGATCAAATACATGAAAGGACTACCCTCGCTATGCCAAAATAAGGACTTATTAAAAGGACAAGTGTTTACTTTAGTAATTGAGTAATTGTAAGCTTATTTTTTATTTATTCCTTAGATGGGTGCACGAGCTCACAGCCCACCTGATGTTAAGTGGTCACTGAAGCCCATAAACATCTACAACGTAAATGCGCCACCCACCTTGAGATATAAGTTTTAAGGTTTCAGTATAGTTACAACTGCTAACGGATACTAACGGCTTTTTCCAGTAGTAACCTTATTCCAAAGCAGTCCTCTTTTACGCAGTCCCGGTTAGCGACCCAATAAAAACACATATCCTATAAAAACACGTCGAACACCGCCTAACATAGACTTAGATATACCTAGAATTCGCAATGAACTGAAATACCTTAACGAGTAACCGAACCGGCACATAAAGCATTCAATACAGGATGGTCGAATTGATGACGACAATATTTTTCCGTATTAGGTCTCTGTGCGAAGCGAGCTGAATTGATATGGCTAAAATTAAATGCTGTTTAATTGAAGTTAACTTGGGAAAATAGACTTCTGAACTATCGTATGCTGTACGGAAAGGGTTTGATTTTTTTTTATTGCTTAGATGGGTGGACGAGCTAACAGCCCACGTGGTGTTAAGTGGTTACTGGAGCCCATAGACACCTACGACGTAAATGCGCCACCCACCTTGAGATATAAGTTCTAAGATCTCAGTATAGTTACAACGGCTGCGCCACCCTTCAAAACGAAACGGATTACTGCTTCACGGCAGAAATAGGCTGGTGGTACCCACCCGCGCGGATTCACAAGATGTCTACCACCAGTAATTACGCAAATTAAAATTGGCGGGTTTGATTTTTATTACACGATGTTATTCCTTCATCGTGGGTGATGACCGGGGTACGCTAGTTTATTTATTACTCGGAGAACGTCGCTACCCATTTTCCGGTGAATCCCTTTTACGAGAGGGGGTGTTGTAAACAAACAGAGACACAGGTAGCACACTGTCGCTCGACACATTCACGACACGTACAATGTATTCAATTTTTAGTAATGCTTTGCGAATTATTGTCTGAAAAATATAAAAAATCTTAGCTTAAGAATCTAAATTCACAGATGTCTTTTTTTTGGACTTTTTCTTGTATTCCCTTAGTCAGAATAATGTTTTGTTGTTGTTTAAGTTGATGTCTACTTTACTGATGGGGTATGACCTCGTTTCGGTGGGGTTCGCATAGTACACGATTTTCTTGGGACATTGAACTAAAAAAACTCCATATATAGTAAACTAAAAATTCTAGAAATTGTATCTGAAGCCGCAAGCTACGGTGAAGAAAAAATAAAAACAGTAATAATTATAAATTATTCGAGCATCAGATATTCTTCAACTATCCATATTGTAATTGATTGTATGTACATATATACGATCATTAAAAAATGATTGATCTGAGAAAAATATTTAATAATATTAAAAAAAAAGGTTTTTAGTTAGATTCAACATTGAGTTTCTGATGTTCTCTTTAATTCAGAATTTTCTTGCACAATTATAATAGCTTAGACCGAAGCAAAGCCAAGAAGTTCACGTAAGATAGCTAGCTGTTTTAATCGACCTCAAAAAATTATGAGGTTTTCCTTTCGACTATACTGTTTTAACAGTTTAAGATCGCAAATGTTTTTCGACGTAAGCCGTTTCTGATGATTATTTTTTATTTATTTGAAAGAGTTCTTTTCGTGTGGTCCTGTTTAAATTTTTATAGTTCTGACCAGTAGTTTTTGAGTTATTGAAAAATTTTGTATTATCCTTATACAAGTAAATACATATAAGAACCTGAATATCGTTATGACAAACGTGGCTTTATGTTAATGTAGAGTTGACGACGAACATAATAATACAGTGTTTAAATTTTTGTACATCTTTTTTTTTTCACTTAAGCGGCCTGAAGATATCGATTTCACCCGTGTAATTTTTCTAACATATCTATGTTAGTAGTATCTAGTATCTACTTCTCCGCTACTAATCGATTATTAGTTTCAAAGTTTTCTGATATCTTTCGCTACGTGGATGAAAGAAAATATACAAAGCGTAACAATTTTTTTTAGATAATTCAAACTTTAGTAACTCAGACTTTCTGTTTTTTTTTTCTTAAATGATTGGAAGATCTCACAGCCCACCTGGTTTCAAGTGGTTACCGAAGCCCATAGACATCAATAAATGTCGCAGCTCACCTTGAGATATGAGTTCCAATTGTCAGTTCTATAGCACAATGTCTGCCCCATCCATCAAACCGAAACGAATTACTGCTTCACGGCAGAAATAGGCAAGATAGTGGTATCTATGCGTGCGCAAGACGTCCTACCACCAATATTATCAGTTCTGACACACAGATTACGATCGCATAACATAAAACGGAATAGCAACTTTACAAAAAAAAATATTTGGAACTCCGTGCAATCCCGAGCTCGATTATCCTAACAAGTTTTAAAGATCACCTATTATTGCAGTGCATTTCAGAGATTGATTACATAAAGTTAATATTCTACAGTGCCTACAGTTGTCGTTTATTGCTTTACACCAGGGGAGCGGTGAGAACGGTGCGCATCTACCCTTTAGCATCAACATAAATCTTTATAGACAGTTAAATATTTTCCGCACATTATTTAATTTAGTCAAATTTAACATTTTTCAATTCAGAGCGTATTATAAGCGCACACGGTTGAATTGACCAACCGATAAAAAAATATTTTTGCTGCTATACAATCATATGCGATAAATTCTCAAATAAAGCAACTTACGATGGTTTCAAATATATAATATGTACATATTTATAATACAGTAAAAGGTCTTTATTCGCGGGATACATGTTCCGTGAATATGCCGCGAATACAGAAACCGTGACTATGGAAAAAGGCGTTTACAAAGAATATTCGGAATGACAAATTGAGAACCTTTTTATAAATGTGTAGTGTGTGTGTGTAGTGATGTATAATATTAGATCCGCGAATAAAGAAATCTTTGGCCGCGAATATAGGAATTGGGTCGCATTTTTTTTAATACGCGAATAATGAAAACGTGAAGGAACGAATAAGTATTATAAATTTTACTATATTGTTTATTAATTCTTTATTGAGAATGAGAATGCGTCAGCGGGAATGTCCACGGATGACTAAACAAGACATCAGCCCTACGCGTTCTCTGTACAGAATACAAAACGAGTTGGCTGAACTGAAATTGAAACTTTCCATTCGCAAGACACGAGCCAACTAAGGTACCGTAGTCTATTGACTTGCTTAATTGATTAATGGATCCGATAGATTCACTAGAAACAACTTTATTATTAAAATACTTTTGTTTCGAAGTGTTTCTGTATACTTACAGACGGACGATTGATTAAGTCACTAAAGTGTAGGCTAAAAGGTACCACCACCCTGCCTATTTCAGCCGTGAAGCAGTAATGCGTTTCGGTTTGAAGGGTGGGGCAGCCGTTATAACTATACTTGAGACCTTAGAACTTATATCTCAAAGTGGGTGGCGGCATTTACGTTGTAGATATCTATGGGCTCCATTAAACAGTTAACACCAGGTGGGCTGTGAGTTCGTCCACCCATCTAAGCAATAAATAAAAAAAGTTAAAGATTAAATTTTTATTACACGACGTTATTC